AATACAATACAATAATAAAAAATAATACAAAGACAAACTGCAAATTGGGAGAATATATTTTGAAGACATATAACTGACAAAGGATTATTATCTGGAATTTTTGAAGACTTCCTACAAAAGAAGATAACCACCTGGGCATGGTGGCTCACTTCTGTAATCCTAGCACTTTGGGTGGCTGAGATCACTTGAGATCAGGAGTTCGAGACCAGCCTGGCCAACATGGTGAAACTCCATCTCCACTTAAAATACAAATATTAGCATTAGCTGGGCATAGTGGTGCACACCTGTAGTCCCAGCTACTTGGGAGGCTTAAGTAGGAGAATCGCTTGAACCCGGGTTGCAGTGAGCCAAGATTGCACCACTACACTCCAGCCTGGGCAACAGAGTGAGACTGCCTCAAAAAAAAAAAAAAAAAAAAAAAAAAAAAAAAGAAAAAAAGAAAGAAAAAGAAAAAAAAGATAACAAACTAGAAAAATGGATGGGAATTTCACAAAAAAGCAGAAATGGCTCATAAACATATGAAAAGTTATTCCCTATATGATAATCAGGAAAATGCAAATTTTAAAAGATATCATTTCACACCCACTAAATTGGCTTTTCTTTTTTTTCTTTTTTTCTTTTTTTTTTTTGAGGCAGTGTCTTGCCCTGTCACCCAGGCTGGAGTGCAATGGCATGATCATGGCTCACTGCAGCCTTGACCTCCTGGGCTCAAACAATCCTCCCACCTCAGCGTCCTGAGTAGCTGGGATCACAGGCACGCCACCACACCCAGCTAATTTTTTTTGTATTTTTTGCGTAGACGGAGTGTCACCTTGTTGCCCAGGCTGATCTTGAACTCCTGAGCTCCAGCAATCTGCCCACCTTGGCTTCCCAAACTGTTGGGATTACAGGTGTGAGCCACAGCAAAAGTTTTAACGTCTGACAATATTGAGGGTTGACATGGTAATGAATCAACAAGAGCTTTCATTCACTGTTGTGGGAGTGTAATTTGGTGTAACTGTTTCGGAAAATAGTTTAATATTACTTGGTGAAGTTGAATATGTGAGTATTTTAATTTACATTTAATATATCGGTAGTTGGTCTCTTAGACATATGCCCAAAAACACAGGCAGTAAAGTTTATAGTCTCACTACTTGCATTAGTAAAAACTGGAAATGATCCAATATCCATAAACCCTAGAATGATAAGTTGTGATATAGTCACTGGATGGAATGTCATAGATCAGTGGAAATTAATGAGCTACAGCCACACATATCCACTGGATGAACTTCAGAAAGTTAAAAAACCAAAACACAGAAGAAAACATACAGTGCAATGCAATTTATAAATATTTAATGTCAGGCAAAACTGAACAATATATTGTTTATGGGTAAATACATATGTGGTAAAAATAATTAATAAAAAGCAATAGAATCATGACCATAAAATTAAGGATAGAAGTTACCTATGATGAGCAAGGGAAAAGAGATTTGGGAATGGTTGGTTGGCAGTTAGTAACACCTTACATAGCATTTAATTTAATATGCTTGTTTTCCAATGAATGGCCAGTCATTTCAATATATACTGCCATTTTCTTCTTCTTATTCTTCTTTAAACAGTTATAAAACTGTTTCCTTTTGCAGTTTTATCATATGCTTTTATTGTGTACTAACTTTCCTTGTATAGTTGGGTGTATTTCTGGACCTTAGCCTCTCTTTTTAAAAAATTTTAATTTTAGGTTTTTTTTTTTTTTTTTAAGACAGAGTCTCACTCTGTCACCCAGGCTGGAGTGCAGTGGCAGGATGCTAGCTCACTGCAGCCTCAAACTCCTGGGCTCAAGTGATCCTCCCACCTTAGTGAGCTGAGTAGCTGAGATTATAGGCGCATGTCACCATGTCCAGCTTGTTCTCTTGTGTTGATTCTTTTTGTCTATTTCTGCACCCATAACACAGTTTTAGTTAATGTAATTGTATAGTATATTTTGAAATCTAATGCTGAGAGTCTTCTGTTATTGGTTTTATTAATTAAAATAATTATTCCTATATATGGAAGATTGTATTTTCCAAACGTGGCCACAATGTTTCTGGTTCCACACACTATTTCAGAATCTTACAACTTCCCTGTCAAGAGGTGGAGTCAGCCGAGCGTGGTGGCTCGCGCCTGTAATCCTAGCACTTTGGGAGGCCGAGGTGGGCAGATCACTTGAGGTCAGGAGTTCAAGACAAGCTTGGCCAGCATGATGAAACCCTGTCTCTACTAAAAATAGAAAAATTAGGCTGGGTGCGGTGGGTCACACCTGTAACCCCAGCACTTTGGGAGGCTGAGGCAGGTGTACTCCCTGATGTCAGAAGTTTGAGACCAGCCTGGCCAACCTGGGGGAACTCCGTCTCTACTAAAAATACAAAAAATTAGCTGGACATGGTGGCGGGTGCCTGTAATCCCAGCTACGTGGGAGGATGAGGCGGGAGAATCACTTGAACCCAGGAGGTGGAGGTCGCAGTGAGCCAAGATCATGCCATTGCACTCCAGCCTGGGTGACAGAGTGAGACTCCATCTCAAAAATAAATAGATAGATAGATAAATAGATAGATAGATACATAAATGAAAGAAATGGAGTCTAGTCCCTGTTTCCTTGAACCTGGGAAGGCCTTTGTGACTGGCTCAGTAATTGGAATGTGGTGGAAGTGATGCTGTGTGACTGCCAAGTGTCGGCTGGAGTAGGTGACACGCCTTCACCTTTGCTGCTCTCTCTTGGAACCCAGCTACCATGTTGTGAGGG